CGCCACACCCAGGCGCTGGCCTGGCACACGCAGGTGCTAGCCTGGCAGACACCGTGCTCCCCCAACAGGCCTGGCACACCTGCACACTCGTGCACTGTTGCTTCAGATGCTCTTGCACACCCATGCACGCCCCTTGCCCCCTGTGAATGAGGGGTGGGGCCGGCTGTTACCGCTAGGCCTCCCCGGCTTGTTTCTCCACCTCGGAGGGCTGCACGGCCAGCCGGGCCCGGTAATAGTTGGCGGCGTACGGGGCCGCGCGGCTGCTCCGCTGGAAGAAGCCGCACTGGGGAGGAAGCGAGGCCGAGGTGAGCGCGTCAGGCCCGGGCCAGAGAGCTGGACCCAGGGGACGCCGGGTTACAGACGGGGCAGGAATTCCTGTGGATGGGGCTAGGTGCCAGGAGGGGGCAGGGGAAGGGGAGTCCCTGCTTGGGGCTCACTCCCCCAGGTGGTGCACGGGGAGGGGCAGGGGCCCAATCCCTGGGGGCACATCTGCCCTGGAGCAGGGACCCCCATGCAAGGGGCAGGGTAGCCGGGTCCCCCCGTCCCCCGGCTCTCACCTTCCACAGGACAGAGACCAGCAACCCCAGCACCAGGACCCCGGCCAGCACCGCGATCAGGATGATCCACCAGGGGACGCCCCGGGCCACCGCCGCGCTCGGGTCCAGGTAGATGGTGACGGGGATCTGGGGGGGAAGGGATGAGCAGGATCAGGACCAGGAGGCGGGGCAGGGGGCGGGGCTGGGGGGAGCGGCCAATCAGGTACCTGCGTGGCAGCGTCCTTCAGCACCAGGTTCTGGATGGTGGATTTGACGGTGATGTTGGCGCGGACGAGCAGTTCCACGGAGGTCACGGCCGGGTACTCCTGGGGGCAGGGACACGGCTCAGCCTGGTGCCCCCCCGGCCCCCCGCCCCCCCAAGCTGTCCCAGGCGGAGGCAGGATTCTGCACCACTTCCTGTCCTACCGCGCGGTGCAGCATCGACTCAGCCCCTGCGTCCCACCCCAGAGCTGGCTGTCCCCGGCGCCAGCTCACCTCCAGGAAGGTGCTGTTCCACAGGCGCCCCCAGGCAGTGAGCACGGCCGAGCGGTCGAAGCTGTGGAGCGGGCACTGGAAGACGAGGCAGCGGGCGGTGCCCCGGGCGCAGTCCTGGAAGGGGGAGACAGCGGGTCAGTGGGGGGGCGGGGGGAGCCTGACCCAGCTGGACAGCTGGGGGG